CCCAACATCTGGGGCTGAACTGATTAACTTATATGGGATTGTTGTTATATTGTTGGTTAATTTCAGTAGAGATTAATTTATTTCAAGAAAGTTACTGGGGCAACGATTTTTGTTAAACGGACGATCAAAACTACGAAAAATCCCATCGACTTTCATTGAGGGTGTCAAGACTTACTACAACAAGACTTATTGAGTATTGAAGCTGTCTTACCACTAGAGAGCTTAATGACTATCATAGTACAACATGCTAAAGCACGTTATCAACATGCTAATTCATGCTAGCAATATGTTAATCATGCTAAAAAGCATTTTAATCACGCTAAAAACATTTTAATCATTTTAACTACATGCTAATTCATGTTAGCAACCTGCTAAAACATGTTAGAAATGTGTTAAAACATGCTAGCTACATTCTATTTCATGCTAACAATGTGTTAAAAAATGCTAATTCATGTCAACAACATGTTAATTCATGATTGCAATGTGCTATAACTGTTAATAAGCTTGCAGAATGTTAAGACATGCTAACAACATGAAACATAAATCTTTCAGACAAGGCTTTGTCAAGCCAACATAAAAGTTTGTCCCAACGAACTTTACTTTCTGGTTTACTTTTTTGTCCACTCTGAAATGGAAAGTATTTCCACAGCAACTCCTACAGACAACTTTTGTTGTCTTGTCAGCATGTTTGCTCTGGACAAATATGCACAGAACGGTCAGAGTTCAGACCCCCTGATCGCAGGTCCATGCCAGAGAAGGCTTATCTTTGAGCCCCTTGTGTTGTGCTCTCAATATGAAAGCATTTTACTGTCTCCACTCTTCATAAACACTTGGCTCTGAGTGGAGGAATGTTGGAGCCATCTCTTAATTGCTGTTTAATGTTTTTCCATTTGCGCTGCATTTTATCCATCGTGATCAAGCAGCTTAATGATGAAAGAATAGCTGAACCAATTACCAGTTTGCAGGTTGGTAATGGCATTGTATTCATCATTCAGGGCAAAGAGTGTTTTCAGAGTTTTTCACCACAGCTGATGGAGAGCTGCTGAATGTTTTTGCTGTAGTTGTTATTCACGGTGCCTTTGACTTGACAACATAAAGTCCAAATTGAACCTGTTTATTTTCTTAATAAATATTCCTGGTCTTATGGTGTGCAATTCATCTGTGAATTTTAAGAATAAAATGTTTAAGGTAAGGGAAGTAACTCTTAGCCTGGTCCCACCAGACTCTCGTACATTTAATTTGTACAGATAGTCTGGATCTGGCATTAACTTCTTTGTAGGCGGGTACTCTGTTGAATTTTAAAACTATTGGATCTGCCCAGAGTCACTCTGGATCTGCCATAACCAATCGCTGACGTTTGGTCGTGACTCGTGACGTATGACGACTCAAACCACTCAAACTAGCGCACGACATCAACGTCATCGTTCTCAGCCACTCCCTCTGTTCGCTGATTGGACCGGTAAAAAATTTACCGGAGAAAACCACAATCCCAGACGTAGTAATGAAGGAAAATGAAAATTGAGTGGAAGTATGTAAGAGGCTAAGTCAGGCTAAGTAACTCTGCCACGAAGGAGCTTTTATGCTGCATGAACTGTTGAAAATAATAATAGGCTATTAGCTTAATGGAAAGAAAAGAAAAAAAGGTCAAAATTTACTCACCCTTGTGTTGTTCCAAACCTTTATGACTCTGTATTCCGTGCAGCACAACAGAAAAAAAATTTAAGAAGTCCGTCAAGCACCAGAAAGACACAATTAATATTCTAAAAATGTTCTGTATGACTGTCTGTGTGCTCAATTAATATATATTTAAATGGTTAGAATAGCCGAATCTATCAATTTTATTCATATATTTTTACACAAATATTGCGGCTCACTAATAGACTTTATAATAAAAAGTTTCCCATAAACCCAGTGAATCTTAAGTGTTTCAAACATTGAAGTCAAAGATCATATGGTCTTGCTTTTATGATTAACATATTAACATATGGATCAGGATGTTGTGATGTCAACATAAGCAAGAGGCGGCATTGAGATTTCTCTCTCATGCATTCCAATCTGTTCATCTCTCCAATGAAATTACTAACACACACACACACACACACACACAGATGGAATCTTCATATGTCGATACCTACGCAGGGCTGTTAATCACTCTTCCTCCATGTTGTTAGATCATGTCTAGTTTTGCTTAGCCAATACTAAATGATGACTGAGGTGGCAATACAGATCCTTGTTTATTTTATATTGTGCAAATATTTAATAGCACATAATTGTTTATCTTTAGTAATTCGTATCATTGGTTTGTTTCCAGGTATAACGCCCAGTCAGTGAATTTAATACTCTTTGTAGACTGTTTATTGGTTAACTGTTGGCTTACCATATTTGGTGAAAAACTGTAAATGGTTTAACATGCATGACACTTCACATGATTGTATTTTATATAAATAATTTTGTTTCTTGTAATTTTTGTTATCGTTAGGGTGTTTTGTGTTACATTTTATGTTATTTAGTTCATGTTTATTGCATTATTTAAATGTCATGTGGATATAAAATCATTGTGTGACTTTCTATTGTATTATTATGGTAGTTACCGGTACATTTTTTATGGTAAAAAGTTGGTAGTTCAAGTAGATATATTAACAATATACCACTTAATGAAATATACAGTTTAATTTCAGGTAACCACAGCTGCCAGATTTTTTTTTACTGTAAATGTAACAGGATATTTTTTACAGTGTTAGTATATGAGACTTTCTTATTGTAATAAACAATTCAGGCACAGGAAAAGTGCTGTCAGAATTAGAAAAAAGAAGGCTTCCAGATCTTGTTAGTGACGCATCTTTCCAAGTACAAAACCAGCGAGGCAAAGAAGCCGTTCCTTCACTTTGTTTGGAGTTTGAAATGATTCAGACTGTGCAAAGAGGGAGACAGTAGGATGAATTTCATAGATCTTGTCTTTCAGGTTGGCTGCGTTCGCTCTCTCATTTGTTTTCCGTACAAACACTTGTCCCCTCCTTCCCTCCATCAATCGTGCAGACAGAGATGCTGGCGTGTGATGAATGCCAAGCGTCTGACAGGCTGGTTCAGGCTGAGATTCAGCCATCTGGCCGTGCATGACCGAAACATGTGACTGACATAGTGACGCTACCACAGAAGCAGCATATCATAGAGACTGGGTGGGCCTTTTGACTTGAGCCAATAAGCAAACTGCTAGAGCAGTCACATTGCAACAATACCACTCAGAAGACCACATAGCAATGCATTAAATGCACTCAAAACATCTTGACAACTGCACAGCAACACCCTGACAACCATCCAAAACATACTTGCAACTTATTTAGATCCTAGCAAGCACAAAGAACTCCTTAGCAGCTGCATAGTAACATGCTAAATACACAAAGAACACCTTAGCAACTTAGCACCTTGGCAACAATGCACTGGCAGCTACCCACAAGAAATGAGCAGCACTATCCTGATCAAAAATAGTGATCCAGTATAATCCAATGGAAAACGTCTGGCAAACAATGCCAAATAACAATCATACAATTCCCACAATTCCTTGCAGACGGAGCATTTGCATATATCTCCTCATTGGATTTTCTGAATACGGTGTTGAATAAGGTGTTTACATGCAATGCTTTAAAGGGTAACTAAACACTGAAACAACTTTTTTTAGTTAATGATCTGTAAGAATGGAGCTTCATAAATGCTGTTCTTTGATTCGAGTACATTTTTTGACATTTGGGTATAAAGTGTTTTAATTTTCAAATATATGGTGTAAAAACGTATGAGTGCTGCCCTCTTCAGGTTAAACGGAAAGCTCCTGCAGTAGGGGTACTCTCTGACGTAGGATACTCTCTGACGTAACTCTGTCACGCCCTTGGTGCGAGCTCACCACGCCCTTGGCAGCCCCTGGTATAAAAGCATCTGGTTCCGTCAAAACTACTGTAGCGAGTCAGGAGTTGGAATTACGAGTATTGAAAACGATCAGGATAGTTTTATATTTGAAAATCAACAAACAACAAATAAAACAAGCAGCTCTATGCACTTTTTAAGGCAAGATTCTATTCTGTGGCATTTCCTTCTGACCGTCGTCAATAGCAACGCATTATAAACACAGTGCAAATCCATGCATCACAACGGACGCCCTCTCTCGTTTCATTCAAATACAATTTGCCGTCTTGCGTCTCCGTTTTTGATTGTATTGAATTTGATTTATTGTTTACAGAGTTTGATAATATTGTTGTGATCATCTTGTCTGGACGATTGTTTTGTACGCTGCACAAAATGGATTTATAAACAGGTAAGATTTAAAACATTAATGCGAACTTTTCTTCGTGGAAGCTTCACGTTTATTTCGAGTGAGATAAAATATTTCAACTCAAAACAACATTTTGAAGTGTATTGCAGCGACTTTTTTGTGCATGTTCTGCAGACAGGGTGACCATCATCGATTAAGTTTCCCTCAGGACTTTTGTAAAAGCCAAAATATGACCACACACCTCAGATTTGGCCCTCTTAAAAGGCAGAAAAATCAGATGAAGGTGGTGAAGAAAATACTTGAAATGACCGCTCTGTTGCAAAGCTACTTGCGTCACTCCAGTCGGTCTCCATTTTAGCGAGTTTGACAGCAGCTGTCAATCAATCCCTCACTGCGGTCTCAGTTCGTCCCCTCTATCTCCGCTGGGCTCTGCCCACTTTTCCAGCATTTTTCAAATATTGCCAGTGGGTGGAGTCAGGCTCTGACCAGGGGTTTAGTTACCCTTTAACAACCACCCAGAACATTCTAGCAATTGCATATTTTTTGACCAATAGGAAGCCTTAAGCTAGATTCTTTCCAGCTGTGCCCATTAACACTTTTTCATTTTTTTGGGGGGGATTTTCCAGTACTGTTATTGATTTTTGATTGTTTATAAGCTGTGTTCATTTGGTGGCTTTGCTTATTCTGGGTAAATCTGATCCTAGAATCAACACTCTCTAATTCCTTTCTCTCTTCTCAGAGTCACTCACTGACAGGGTGGGCCGGCGGCGCAGCATGCCTGGCAGTACGGTGGACAAAACGGTGGTCGCTATGGATGCAGACACGTCAACACCTTTTAAAGTCACGGTACGCATTTATGACCGCACCACAGATTTTAAAAAATAGTGCATTAACATCCATAACATCTCTCTGAGCTTGGTGTTGTATCTCAAAATGTGTTTCAGCTTGACTATAGGTCATTCCTACTATGCGGTACACTTCATAAATGTCTTAATGTATTTTAAAATTCAAGATTTTAAAGGTGCTCTAAGCGATGTCACGCGTTTTTTAGGCCAAAACATTTTTTGTCACATACAGCAAACATCTCCTCACTAACCGCTGGCTGCCTGTCCCCTGAACACACTGTAAAGAAACGCGATATCTGTAGACAGCCCAGGCTCCACAAACAGCAACAAAAACAAACTGGGCTAACCCGCTCCACGAAACATGACAAATAGTTCCAGCCAATCACCGACAAGAAGGACTTGGGGGGGTTAGTGCGCGGATGAGGAGGAGGGAGGGTCTAGCTAGCCTCCGTTTTGTTTGACAATACTTTAAACGTCAACAAGAAGTGACGTCACCCGACATCGCTTAGAGAACCTTTAAAGTACAACATAATTCGAGAATTTACTGATTCGAGGGGAATCAGAATTCCAAATCCTGACTGACGAGAGGAGGAGCTGGGGATGGAGGAGGGTAATTAGCTCCAGAGAAACGCGATAGCTGCTGATAATACTCAAGGAGCTTATATATGTATACAGTGATAGGCGTTGTATTCCTATAGGTAGACCTGGATCAGCTGACTCTGCGAGCTTGACTAACGTGACCTGCCAGAACTGACGCTATGCTTGATTTATTATTCAACTCAAAATAAAACAAAACCAAAATCTCTGGCACAGGAAGGCCCAGGAAAAACCCCAGGAGCACTATACACCAACCATTCAGACAACACCAAAAAAAAGTGAACAAAAGAGTATTAATACACAAAACAAATTGAGGCACTAAACTAGACACAGGTTAAACTAATCAATTAACTAATCAGAAACCATGGAGACAAACAGGGACAAACCTATGACAACCAAGTAAAGATGAACTTACACAGGGGAAAGTAATAACAAAAACAAAGATGAATCCTGACAATAAAAGTTATATTAACATTCAATGCATCTATCAACATTATAATAAGTGACGGATTCGAGACTGATTCAAATCTGATTACTAATACCACTTCAGGAGGGGGTCTGAGATGCATTCCAGATGAAACTGGACAAGTGAAAATGCATCTGGTTGTTAAAACCACATAAAAAATAAACATATGAGAGCCTGTTAAATGCCATATGACATGCAACACGCTTCACCACAGATGAGTAGCTCTTCAGCAAGCCGACGTGCAAACTGCCTCAAATGAAACTGAAAGTAAGTCGCAGATGCACATAATCATCTTCATTAAAAGTAGTGAGACTTAATGATCTTACCAGTGCTGATGCCGCTCTTTGTTCTATTGTGGTCTTTGATCTTGAAATTAGCTGATGATAAATAAAATGCAGCTCATATCTGTTGCTTTCGTTGACGTGAACTCCATTAAATTTGCATATAGCATAGGAATTTAAGATAGGATTTATATAAGCTTTCCAAATGCATGCTGAGCATTACCTCAGCCTCGCAGTAGCATTTATCTTAATATAACCTGCAGGTTACCAGTGTAGCAGGCCCGCTGCATGCAATACTGGTATTGTTTACGTTGTGATTACAAAGTTATAATGGACCCATTTGAACCCACTTTATAAAAATGTCTAATTGTCTAAAAGTGTGCAGTTATGTATTTTATGATAATTATTTATATGGTCACATATGTTTGATCATACTTGTCACTCAATATAATTCGTTCTACAAACGGTCTTCTTTGCAGAGTAATTAGCAAAATTCAAGAGTCTGAAATGATCATGAGGTGGACCAAGAAATGGACCAAGAAAATACTAGTTCAAGCGTCCTCTGATTGTAAAAGTATCTCCAAGAATCGGGAAAAATAAAGAGTTTAGAATCATGTCACAAAAAATGAAAGTTTGTTGTTGACACATTTATTTAGCAGTTTATTGCAGGAAAAATACAGTGGCGTAAAGCTGAGTGTACGTGACACATATGCAAAAAACTTCAAGTCATTTCCACCTTCATTTGCAACGACAGATAGTGTGAAATACAAAACCACAATAATCACACCATTAGCTCTATAGTGCAGAATGTCATCCATTTTTTTCCAGCTAAAGAGAACACTTGAAAAACGAAGAGAAAAATGACATTTTGCATTTCTTCGATACATAGTGTATTAGCATACACCAATGTTAACACAGATGGTTCTTGCATTATCAGTAGTTGAAAGTTCTTCAACCAGAAGGTTTATATACCTTGCCACAAATGTCCTACACAGGTATTTTAGGAACCCGATCTCATCACAGACGTGCGACAGCATCTGTCTAATTTCGCTCTGTAGGAAAAGAAACAATCAGAATTAACCTTAACCTTAATTAACCTTGTCTCTTTGCATTCTGTAATTTTTTTTTTTGTTATTTGAATAACACATTTTTTAAAGTCATATACAAGAGTAGCCTATAGCCCACCTGCGTTGATTTACCGGAGACTAGGTTTTTCACCTTCCCCATGGCCCACTTGCAAGCCCAGCACAATCCAGGGAGTTGTTCGGATTTTGACATCTCACCCTTACAAGACAACAGACATGGCATATTATATTAAGTAGTTTAGATATGACAGTTTGAACCTAATTAGCAGTTCAAACTGGACATGACTAGTTGTTTGAAAAGCATCGTCAAGCTTCTCTGCATCTGGCATTCTCTTGTAGTTTTAGCATATGGCAAAGTTTTGACCTCTTATAGTTTTGGCCATTGGTATCGGCATCAGCCATTAAAAAAACATGTTTGACCACTACTTATATGTCTTAGTGTGATGCAGCTGTCCATGATAAACCACGTTGAGGACAACTCACCGAGCTTTCTTCAAGTTCATCTCCAGTAAAGTTTCCTCTGTGCATTTCCATGTCAAGAGCACAAACTGTGAGAAAAAATATAGCACAAATATCCCAGTTGACAAGAGAAAACTTCCCTACTATGAACATTTAACATATGAGTTCAGTTAAACCGTGAGAAAATGAGATGTGTGCTCAAAACAGTAATAGCTAAGTAAGTGAATGTAACCTGGTTTAAACAATAAAAATAACAAACTATTTTAGCTGGTTCAGCTGGTGGCTTTTTAAATGAAATACATATGCTGGTTTGGTATTTACATGCAGCATTGTCCATCTTATCCCATTAAGACCATCTTGTGAATGGCCCAAACAGGTCTATCTTTCTTCCAGCTGAACATACAAAGATAAATAATGCTAAAGATAATGACCATTTGACCAGTGCTAATTTTACCTGAGGATATCAGCAGGGTGGCCAGAAGGATACGTCGAAACATCTTATTAGAAAAGTCTGAACACAACGAGACTGAAAAACCCTCTGTTGATTTATTTGGTTTGCTGCAGATGATTTAGGTCCACTCTGTTAAATACACATGTGTCTTCAACCAGAAACCACAGATGTGTAGAAGTGAGACCATTAACACCCTCAACATGTCAAAGCGTAGGCCTACTATCACTCTGAGTACTATCACTATAACTTTTTTGTCATCTTCCTGTACTGTATGTGTGATATTCATTATAAATGTTATTGTATTGTTTTCACGAACTATATCCTATTCATCTAAAACTGCAAGATTAGAAGAAAGAGAAAGAGCTTTATTGCCAAGTGTGCTTGCACACACAAGGAATTTGTTTTGGTACTGAGGCTTCCAGTGGACATATACAAATACAAATACAACAAGAAACATAATACTACAAATTCTAAGAATAAAAAATAAAAATATAAATATATGAGAATAAAAGTATCACAGTTGTCACAAGTATCACATATATTACAGTGTTTTGAATATTATGAATAAATAAATCTACATATAAGTATCACCTGAGTTGTAGGATATTGCACTAAACAGTGGGAGTATTGCACTTAAAGCATATGCCTTGGGAGGTGTGTTAACTGTTCAGGAGGGATATGGCCTGTGGGAAGAAACTGTTCCTGTGCCGAGATGTTCTAGTGGCCAGTGATCTGAGTCGCCGTCTTGACGGTAACAGTTCAAATAGGTGGTGTCCAGGGTGAGTGGAGTCTGTGATGATTTTACCTGCTCTCTTCCTCACTCTGGAAGAGTACAGGTCCTGGAGGTTTGGCAGGGGGGCACCAATAATCCTCTCCGCAGTCCGGACTGTCCGTTGCAGTCTCCTGATGTCTGATTTGGTAGCTGAAGTAGGGACTCCAGTATATGAACCACAAACAACTTTACGTGTAAAATGACTTTATTAACTAGACTAAACGCTTTGACTAATCTAACATACACACACATACACATAGTTTAGCAACAGAAAGAGAGCTGAAGCACAATACAGGAAAGCAAGAAGTAATAGCATTTTTTGTTCTAAAGCATCCTTCTTTAAACGCCTTCATTAATTGATAGATATGACATTGTGCAGCGCAGATTCAGAAATTATCCTGTTGAATCCATGGTGAAACAGGGTTGATACGTGCACCTTATAAAGAGCAAACCATATGCTCTGGTTCTCAGAGAGCTCCTACACCACATATCTCCTCATCTCTCAAAAACAGTGCCAGTTCGCACCCCTGCCCAAAGCTGTGTGCAACTCTCTGAACCAAACTACTAATGCAATCGAATAACTGGCCTTATCTATATTTATTAAACAACAATAAAAAATGTGGTAACATATTACATATAAAATACTACTGACAAAATGTGTATCTAAAACTACACGCCGTCACATAGTCAGTAGCTGGTTAGTTACTTGTGTTTCTTCACTTAAAACAACCCACTCATTACACACATTTTTTTCCGGAAATCGCACTGCACTGGCTGTATGTTTTTGACTGAATGCAAAAAGAACTGGCCCAGTAGAGAAGGGGTTTTCGAGGTCAAAGACAGTGACCCTTCTGACACAATGTACATGATGGTGCCAGAACACCCCCTCC